GGAAGGGCGTCAACGATTCGCCCTGTCAATCCCCGTGCGCCGGCAAAGGCCGACGATGACGCGAGACTCCTTTTACGCATAGGTAGGAGACTACAAAGTGCGCGCGTCAAGCCAGATGTCGGTGGAGCGGTCCGTCTTTATGGCTGTCAAGCCTGCACGTGGACGAGAGAGCGACGGACGTGCCGCGAAAAGGAGCATCACGACGCGCGAGCGCGAGCGGAAGGGTAAATGGAATCTAACGTCGACGCGGAGCGTCGGGACGCCCGTCGTCACCGTCGTATCGTCTATTTTCTCTTTGACTTGCGTGCCGATTGCGCCCGTGACAGAAAGAGTCGACGAGATACAACTAGAGACTCCGCCGTGAAAAGTCGCGCAAACATTGACGTTACATTATAACATGTTGTACGTTGATAGTCTATTATCTCGGGGCTACGATCTCTACCTTGGTTCAAATTACATCGCTTTCTCGTACGCGGAGAAAATTTTCTCTCAAAATTTTCCCCGAAAATCGTGTGATCGTGGGACAACGCGGCAGTTGAAAGAAACTCTCATAAAGTTATTTGAAACGCCGCGTTGTCCCACGATCATATGATTTTCAGGATAAATTTTAAAAGAAAATTCTCTCCATGTAGAGGTAGCTTTGATTTTCAACTTTGTCACTGGGGCAATTTTAAAAAACTTAAGCCAGTATTCATAGTCGGATCTTCTATTCAAGACCGTCTTGAATTTATCTAAAGATGCTGTACGGAACATTTCATTGGCTACGGAGTATCTGAAGATGATCTTAAGACGGTCTTGAATATATATGTATAAGATCTGACTATGAATACCGGCCGAGGACTTTAAGATGTAATAATTGCAATAATTAATGGCGAGACGCTCGCGACAGGAAGAGGGCAGAGCGCAGAAGAGGTGAGAAATGTAATATTGTACTTCCGCGAAAGTGGGTCACCAGAGAAGAGGAATGAATGGAGAGCAGTGTCTTTCTGTTTACTAGCTCTGTCGCTCCTGTGCTATACTCCACTGGCGATACTGATTCATATCCGCGATTGCGGAGGCAGACGAGTTTCCCTCGTGAAGCGGAGCAGGACGCGGGGGAGAAAAGATGCGCGCCTCGAAGCTGTCTCGAAAGTGACTTTCTGCACTTGCACGACGGATAAACAAAAGCGCGGGAAAACTGGCGAACGCCGAGACGAACGGCGTTTCTTCGCGACGACGAGAAGAGGGAGGGCGACTCGGGACGTCCGTCGTGTGAACCGGATCTCTCGTCACCGCCAGCTGCCAAGTCGTCCTCTCTCGTATACAACCGCGATGTCTTTCCCGCCGGCACGACTGCACGAGACACGACGGGCGACACTTTAAATTAACGTCGACTCTGATACAGTTTGCCGTGGTCGAAAAATTCGCGGTATCCTGGAAAGGTAGTCGAGTCAAACCGGCAACTATGTTGGAAATTAAATAGAGCGTTCTCAATTTTTAGACATTTGTTTAAGTATCTTCCCTAGTAGCACAGTGCATTGGCTAAACATTGGCTCAATACTGGTTATACTGGAATATTTGTTGGCCAGTATTTCCCAATGTAAAGCCGATCTAATATTGATACAATCTTAGAATAATATTGCTAAGGAGGCATATTGGCCAAATAAGGCGTCCATCTTGCAATATTGGACCAAAGTTGGGAATATTAGATTTACATATTTCCCAATATCGCGCCAATATATTGAGCTACCCTTACGGAAGAAACACTCAAGTTTTGAGTGTGAACACTCGATTTTCCGAATTTACTCTCAAATTTGGGCGTAAACACCCAGATTTAAATATTTACACCCAAATTTGAGAGTAAATTCGGACAATCGAGTGTTAACACTCAAAACTTGAGTGTTTTTTCCGCAAGGGTACTAGGGTTTCTTCATTTAGCAAATATATTAATTATCGCTATCATATAATTATATCATTTCCAGTCGTGCGCGCGTCTCCGTCGGAATCAAAGGGTTGACGCGCAAGTGGAGAGCTTGATGGGAGGGAAATGGAGTCGAGGACTCGCGAAAAAAAAGGCGTAGTAGCCGGGCCGGGTACATTTATGGGACGCGTTTTAGCGGATAGCATTCATTAGGGAGGTCGCGCGTCATCGAGATGCCGTGAAAAAAGGCTTATGAGAAGAAAAAAAAGTCAACCGCGGTCTACGCGCGTGGGAAGCTGCCGTTAAGTGCGTGTCACTGATAATTCCGCGGACGTGCTCTTCTGTATTCGAGCCTTCCTAGACGTCTCAACAACTTCCTCAGACTTTCTGGACGCCGCCTTTTCCGTGTTTATTTTTTTAAATGATTTTTCAACCTCCATTGCCGGACTCTGCCGGACAGGATCGAGCGACGCGAGAGAACGAATTCCACGTAAAAAGGTTCTCTGTGAAAACAATCGTGCAATGTAATAAATACGCGGGACGACAGTCGTCTGCCTTCAGCGCGGAGACAGATTTCGGGGAAGGACGAGCGTTCCTTCTTTTTTCCTCCTTCGTTGCTCTCGTGAAAGATGATCGATCTGTAACATGGTCCGGTCGTCGAAAAGCGCGAGGAGAGCCGGCATGTCGGCGCACGGAGATAACGCGACGATCTCGTCGCCGTATCATTTTCGCCGCACTACCAGGGAATCGGCAAGGCCGCAGGACGATCGTGTCACGCCGAGGGACAACGGTTAGCTTCCCTTGTCAATCATAGTGCGTATATCCCCGTTTAAAATAATAGATAGAATACGATCAGATTACACTAGATTACATGCAAGTTCTACGTAAATTAATAAGACTCTTATTTATTTACATTGAAACTGCACGTCAGTGATCGTATTCTATCTATCTAATATTTTATATTTTAAACAGGGATTCGCTTGCACGCTGAATGCTCCTCCAATTAACATTTTCCAGCGAAAAAGCCTCAAAACTAAAGGCAAAAGCGATGTTTCAGAGGAGTACCCTACCGTACCCTTTTTATCTCCTATAGCCTAGGTTTGCTTTTCTTGTTTTTCGGGTTGTGTGAATTTCATCCTATTTCAAGCTCGTCCCAGGTTACGTTTCAAAACCTTCTTCTCCGAGGAAAATCTTACTCGACGGCCAATCCGAAACCTTTTCGAGCGTTTCCGATCCATCTCTGAAGTAAAATTTTCCTCAGGCAAAGTATTTTGGAACATAACTTTGATAGACAAAATATCATTTGATATCTTCAGTCGTAATGGCTTCCGGATGGTTGTCGCGTCCGTTTGATATTTTTCTTGAAAACTTGCACGTACTTATTATCCATCTATCACGCACGCGAGATACTGCTTCAAATGTACATTTGATGGGTTACTCGATGATCATTTTGCACAGCGGAAGACAAGTCTTCGGTGATCTTAATCGGATCGTCCAAAGGAAGATGCAAGTACTGTACTTGTTGCGTCGCTGGGATGCTGGCGATCTTGTTCTGCGTCGTAGTCGGCGGGACGCTGTTCCCATATCCTCTCCATGCCTCGTGCATTGTTAAATGGTAATTACATACCCATTTGCACACATATCAAACCACGATCGTGACAACAGATGTTTTAATTCTTTAAGATTTTGTGTCGCAAATTTTGTAAACTAGTAAAGTTGTGTACTAATTTTTACAAAATTATAAATTTTCATGAAATACCACTCGCAATAATTTCTTGATTTGATAACATTGTAATTCGTAGATTTTTTACGTACTATTTCGTAGATATTTAAAACAAAATAAACGTTTCAACGAAGATATAAAAATTTCTACAAATTTCTATTTCAAGTCAATTTTTGTAGGTATTTATAGAAATTTTTTCCGCTAGGGTAGAACGGTACAGTTTTGTGGAATGCGCTGTGACAACGTACATTAAACGCGCATTTAATGTGGGACAAATATGCGCTCCTTGGGCGAATTCCGTCGTTTTTTTTCCGCGGATGAGCGACGCGCCGTTGATCAAAAGCTGTTCGCCGATTACCGAACACTCTGCCGTCGAAATAACGGGCGAAACGTTCGCGTCGGCATTTTTACGAACAGGTCCCAGAGCTTTTCGGACGGATTTACATTCCCGCCTCAGCTGCCGTTATCGTCTCCATTTTTTTCCCCTCCCCACAAGCGCCGGGGGCGAGATCGGATCCCTTTCATCCTAGGGCAATAGCTAACGCGAATGATCGTCGCGTCGTTTTTACGAGGACTAGAGCTTTCGAAAAGTTTCTTTTGAAGCGACGTCCCCGCCGCTCTCGTGACGCGTTTTATGTACACGGGGAAACTCAATATCGCCGGCGCGACGTGGGGGCTCGTATATTTTGCTTTGGCCTGGACGACACCGCCCGAAAAATATACGCCCCGCGCTTTTCCGTCTCCACGAGAACGGGCGCATCGCCGCGCCGGCACTCGCTACTTTATTGCTCCCCGGTCGCTTCGGGCGTCTTTTAAAATTAACGTCAATTATGTAGAAATTACGGTATTTCTGCGGGAGAAATATAGTGCATCAAATGTACCCAGTGGGAACACTAACGTCGACGTCAATGAGGTCGCAACCGCGTCCCAACCGTCAGTTTTCGAAAATAACTAAAAGTTTTGGAACTTTATTTAAGTTTTGTATTATAATTTATGTCATTTTGTATTAAATAAGTTAACTTGGCAGTTCTCTCCAATAAGACGTTGGATAGCAATCGGAGCGTTGAACGTAGTAATTGAATACAAAAAAATTAAGTTCCAAAACTTCCAATTATTTTCGAAGACTGACGGTTGGGACGTGGTTTCGATCCCATTGACGTCGATTCGACCTTATTGTTCTTACTGGATACTATGGATTGCAAAGATATGGCTGCGTTTAAAGGATAGAGTTGAAATAAATCGCAGTTTACAAAGTCCTGCGTCAGAACAAAACGAAAATTTGGATAAAACTAGATCGGACACGATGAAATACGATTTCTACGGAGTTTTAAATATTTTATCGAGCCAAGTTATATTAATATTTTCTAACGATAACGTCGTGTCAATTCTAGGAAGTTTGCCGATCCATGCGCGTATGTGATGCAGAAATTGCGACGCCAGATAACGAATTGGTCTTCCTGGAACGCTTGCCGACATCGCGACGGCGCTTGTCTGTATACGGTGAGAGTACAAATCTGGTATTTAAACACAAATTAACGGCAACTTGTATCTCGCGATTAGCTGAAGGTACCCGTGGAGGATAACATAATCAGAGCGACGCACAGGACGTCGAATCTGAAGTCGCTCGAGAAGATTGAGATTATCTTCGAGCAGATGAACAACACGTGCCTTGCTAAGGTAAACTTTTAATTAAACAAATGAAACTTATTTTACAAGAAATGGTAAACGCACGAGCGATATATCACAAGACGCAATGCGTTGAATTAAACGAGATTTCTCGCTACTACCGCATCGATGCGTTAACGGGTTCTTTGATAAATTTTATTTTAAAGAACGTCTCAAATATTATTCAATGATTATATTTAGAGCACTGAAGTCTAAGTTGCCGAATGTTAGACTAACAAAAGCAATATTTTAGGCCGATTCAGTTTCAACCGAATGGTTGGCAATATTCGATTACGGCGCGAACTACTGTAATCTGCACAACTTGGTAGTAGGAGCCGGTCTCGATAGACGCGCGAAATTTCTCGAGCTGACAAATGATGCTGTATGTACGCAATTTAACATGGCGGTCTGTTGGTGAAACAAGACACACCGCTCACTTGTGGTTTTTCAAACTTTACATATTTATAAATTTATGAATACACATATATGTGTATGTATGAACATGTATATAAATTTATTTTACGATTTACATATATGTATATGTACATATATAAATTTTGTAAAATGAATTTAATATTACAAATGTAACACACATATATAATGTTGTATTTAGTCTTAAAAATGTATACATATATTTCTGTATTTTGGCGAGAGTGCAAGCTTGAAAAACCATAAGCATTTTTATATACATTTATAATAAAACTTTATATTTATATTAATTTACAGTTTGGTACAAGATGTTATAAGATGTGTTATAAGATGCTTTACATCATAAGTCTGTAGTTCGATATATCCTTATAAAATAGTAGATTGTGTACTTCGCACAAATATTAAATATCATTTATATTAATCGCAGGACTAATTATTATCATTATTAATCCGTTTATCATCGTTATTACGGAAATATAGGAAATTACGTTTCTTTAAATATGTATTGTACATTAATCATTGAGAGAAACGTTATATTTCTATTAGTAATCAGACGAAAGATTTTTTAGTAAATTGTAAGATGGAATTGTATAAACAATGCAGAGAAATTTGAGCGAAATACTATTCGGAGAAAACGTTTGTTTCATTTTAGACCTGAGGGGTCGAATTGAACAATTTAGACTGTTTGATTATGCACTCTCAGGCTTAAACGGTCAGAATCATTGGAAGTTTGATCTTGAAATTCGTACTATCCGAAATGCCATTGAAAATACTTTAAAGTTTTTAATAGTTCGTAGGTGGTGTCTCAACATAGAAATATACTTGAATCACAATGATCAGATAATAGAAGTCATATAAATTAACTCTCAATGCTAATAAATAATTAAGACTAACATCAAAACTAACACTAATAAATAATACTAACATTAAAATATGTATATGCATTAAAAAATATTATCAGAATCAAAGTACGATACCTTGAGATTACTGCAGTATCACCGAACGAACGATTAATTAGTAATCCTTGCCAAACTATCTCTTAAGAATTTCTTGTTTCTCTGAGATTACTTTTTCATTAAGGTACATCCGTACACTATATACAAAAAATAAATATCCGTTGCAAGTTTGATAGCAACTGTTATATATATATATAAATATTACGAAATTATTAATCCCTCTTCAATTAATTAAAACGATCACTCATAATGGACGTGCCCGTCAAATGATGGTGGCAGTAGTTCAGTCCGGGCGAAGCGAACGCTCGACATCTCCTGCCGCTTCTCGTTATTCCCATACATGAAAATTTCGGCGACGTCGGAGTAACACTGAAATAACACGGACAATAAGCTATTGTACTTTCGCCCTTTTTCTAAATAATTTAACTTCTGGTCTCTAATTTAGTTTCTACTTTACGTCAGCTGTTTACCTTCTGGGTTTCATGAAGGTTCTCAATTTTAGCGAATTCATGTTGAACCGAGGATACTCAAACGAGTCCTCTGTGTCGTCACAAGTTACGAAACGGCCAGAGTTGATGCCGGTGCATTCGTCATACTGACATATTATGTCAGTAGAATCACACTCTGGCAGGTTATTCGGCTGGAAACTCGAGAAATCCAAATTCATCCCATCGGGAACGACGTCCTCACGCTTTTTCCGCGACGGTTGATACGAGCAAGACAGCTCCTCGTGCGCGTTTAAATTCCGTCCACCCCATGACGCGATCGTCTCTAACAAAGCGCGAAACTTCTCTGGAAAAGTCACATCGGATGTTACAGCGATCACCAAATTTGATTTCTTTCGCACAGTCTTTTCAGTCTTTAATCGAAGAAATACCTCTGTAGTGATTTATTTTCAAAATGATGAGATTGTTAAGTGCCTGTATTTTTTTCTCTATTCTCGTGTGCACAGAAGTGGAATGCGCTGACGACGTACTGTCGTGCGCAACGCTATACGAGCCATGACCATTTTGATGAATCAGCTTGATTAGTTTCGTGTTTGCTTCCGAGACGTTTGGTCCGATCATACGTTGTATTCCCAGCATTATGAAGTGCACTGCGTCAAAGAAATAAATGCGTCGAGTCGATGTAATACACAGTAAAGTATCCGTATCATTACTGCACTTTGTATCATTATCACCGCCACGTCTTCTATATTTATTTAAGTGACATTCATCAGGCGTTTCGATACGCAATACTCACTTGCGGTGATCACGAATATCAACACCGTTATGGACGTAAAATCTAAAGAGGCCTCCATGCCGTACTTCAAGTAGGTTAAAAGATTCGCCGGCACAACGCCAATGATGGTAGCTCTGGTTAAAAACGGCGCTTGTAAAAACGCGGCGACTATCATCGCCACTAATATATACACGATATGTAAAAATATGCGGTATGCTCTCTGCATCTGTTCACCTAAAAATACGGAAGTATGACTGTGTTGCGTTACTGACGCACCTTGACTCGTTCTGATCCGAGACCTCGCGACACAACACGGTCAGCGTAAATAAGTTATATAATGCAGTTAATAAAACGTGCGTTACTGCAATTGTCAGACTTTAAAACGAGTCAGATCGTCTTCTCGTACAACAAATATATTTTATGCAACGCTGTACCGGTGTCGCCGATGTAGTTGGTGATCCATCCCAATTTTTCGTCTACTTCTGTCCGCATTGTACTAGTGAGATTCCAAATGTACTGGATGGTGTTGTTAATTTGCGCGAGCATCTCCATCGTTTGCTCGTACTGATGAACAGTTTGGTCGTGGTACTCCAGTATGTGTTTGGTGCTCTGCTCCATTTTCTCCCAGACCAGTCGCGCTTGCTCCTGTATGTTAATCAAATCCTGCAACACCTCCTGATGATTTTCCCCACGCTCGACGGCCTGTTGCTCGAGATCGGCGTGCGCCTTTTCTGGAGAACGCGTTGAATACACGCTCGGAGTACATTCTACATACAAAAGAAATGTGTGGAAGAAAAGTTTTGTTTACTAACCCAACTTGTGTTTTATTTCCTCCGTCATGGCAGCGAGCTGAGTGTAGCCGGATCGTATTAACGCCTTTTCGTTATACAACTCCTTCAGGTTTGTTGTTACGAGCCTGTAAGCCGTCGTCTGGGCGTCCTTCAAGTGATCTTGCTGCGCCAAGAGCACCTTGTTTCCTTCGCTCAACGACGACAGAGTTTCCGCCGTCTGCTCTTCCAGACGATCTTGGCCTTGCTGTTTAACACACAATTCATTTAACGCCTCCCATTAGGCACGAATCGATAAATCACACCGAAGAAACGTGATTAACTACCTTCAATGACTTCAGCGCCTCGATTTGAGAATGCGAGGACTGCATCAGCTTGTTGACCGTCAACTCTGTAAGAGCGCGAAATTGTGTGTTTCGAGCCGCGTAACAAATCGCCCTCGCTCTGTTACTTATTAAGTGATACGCATTCCACATGTCAGCGTCCATGTCGATTGTGCATTGTTTAAGAGACTAAAAAAAGAAGAGAGAAACAGAAATCATGCTTGTATACTTACACCACAAAGTTACACCACGCAATTGCGATTCTGTCGCGTGCACGCGTTCTCGAGAAAATACTTCTTCGACGCCGTTCGGCAATTATTTAATTCACACTCCTAATTTTTCAGGAACAAATTCGGGAACAAAACAAAAACGCGATCTGTTGTACGAGACAATTCGCATGCTGGTACAGCGTGTACAGCACTACGCGACTGAAACCCCAGAGCTCTGGGCAGGCCCTGCGAAGCGAAGGGAGGGGGAAGTGCAGGTTTGAACAGGAATTTAACCCCTCGCTCTATTCCAATGCTAAAGCGGGGAGCACACACTTATGGAAAAGTACGTGCTCTCCGCCTAACGCAGTAAAGTCAGCGCCCTCGTGTCTTTGACAACTGATAAAGAGGCGAATTTCAATAAACGCAGCACCGCGCTAGGCATGCTGGAGCAGCGAGCACTTGAAAAATCGCACACCACACACGCACGGAGTCCAACAAAATGCCCTATCTATGTTACGCAGGACTGACGTCTCGTTAGTCCCGTAAAATCTGTAGAGAAGGTGGAAAAGGACGAGGCGCGAGCGTGTCGCGAGGTACGCACCATGTCCTCGGTGCAGGGGAACATCTTCCTGCCCTCAACTGCTGATTGGCAGTTAAGCAGATTGACGCCCAGCTTGGCCAGCTCCTCCTCCGTCATGTCGGAGCACGAGGTCCTGATCTTCATGATGACCTTGTGCTGGCACGTCTCCAGCGGCGAGGACACCTGAATGTCCGTCAACTTGGCGGCCTCCCGGAGGAACTTCTCGTCCTCCGTCATCGACTCGTAGGGAATCGAGACGAGGGGCACGCTGTCGGCGACCAGGACGCTGGCGTCGTCGCTCGCTTTCTTGCCCCACAGCCAGCCGGTCCAGGACGCGCCTCCGAACTTACAGCTGAGCGTCAGGACGAGCGCCGTCAACAGGAGCCGCCACCTGCCGTACATCTTGCGTCGGTCGACCTGAAACAACGACTCTCTGTAACTTTGCAGCAGCTTAATCGCCTCGCCGAGCACGCCATCGTTTCGACAAGTACGCTACGACCTCGACGACTCTTGAGTCACAAGTTTCGCACAACTCTCGGGCCGCGTGTCAATTCGACGCCGAAAGCGCACGTTTACCTGCCGATCCGAGGTGAGCGGATTACGCACGGCCGTCCGTTCCCGTCCGAGGAACGACGTTGCAAAATCGCGTCACTAAAAATAACCGGAGTCGTCCGCGCGTCGTGGTTTCGCGAGCGACAGGCACAATTCCCGTGGGATCTCGCTGCCTGCTCGACTCGGCCGGCGCCGCGCGTGTCGAGCGAGTTCGTCCCGCGGATTCAAACGCGGATGACAAGCGACTTTCGCGTGTTTTCGTCCGTGCGGAAAAACGGTTACGCCGTTCAAAAGACGCAAATGGCGGCGGGTCGCGACCGCGAGGCCACCTGTCGCGTTCGCGCGCGCCCGCGGAGACACGTTTCGTCGCGTTTTTCCGCCCTTACCACCGGCTTCTCGTCGCGCGACTCGCCACCGCGGGATCCTCGATTCCTTCTCCTCCCCGTGCGTCGTTCCACCAGGTCGTTAGCCCTCGTAGACGCGCGGCGAAGATCACCTTGTCGCCCCGCGCGTTCGAGACGGGGCACGCCGGGCGCGGGCCAATCGGCGAGGGCGAGCGCGACGTCACGTGACCCGCCGGGACTTTTGAAAGCGACCAATCGTGGGGCGCGCGCGCGCCAAGTGCGGGGATTCAACAGAGAGTCGAGTCGAGAATTCGCAAACTGTTGTAAAACTGCTGCTTTATTTTTAACGCACGGTAATTCGAAACGCACACATACACACACACACACACACACGCGAAACACATTGGTCCCGCGGGTCATCTTCGACAGATCATCTTACGTCACGTCACAATCTTCCCCTCACTTCATTACTTCGCAGATGCCGTACATGCCGGCCAACAGGCGCCCGTGCGACGGGGGCACCGCGTCCTTGGGCGGTAAGTATGGCCCTTTCTCGCCCATGTACACGTATCTATGGAATTCGTTAAGATAAATCGTGCGAAAGTCGTTCCCTCTCCCAGGAGAACAAGGATCCCTGGTTCTGGCGTTACAATATAACAGGGTTGGGAACGTTGCCTTAATATGAGAATTTCAGCGTCCAAATTGAGTCACAAATCTCTTTTCGCAACTACAACGCGATCTATGTACATTTTATTAAACAGATTTCATTCTAAAAGCCATAAATTCACAGTGGACGATGCCTATGTAGTAGAAACTCCGTTATCTCTTATTAGGAGTCTATCTTATAATAGGGGACTTTTCTCTACACAGTGTATTCAAAAAGTTCCAGGACTGGTCGCACACAGATCAAACAATGCCACGTATTGACTCCTCTTTAATATCAAGCTTCTACATAGTTTCCCGCCAATTGGATGCAACGCTTAGAACGAGTCTTCAGGTCCATCATCGCCTTCTGGAACGCCTCCACTGGAATACTGTTCAGTTCCTTTGTCACCGCCTTTTCAATCGCCTTTACTGACTCATATCGGTGTCCCTTCATCTTCAATTTTAGCTTGGGAAACAAAAAGTAGTCTGGGGGACAGATCAGGCGAGTACGCAGGGTGGTTGATGCTCACAACTTGCCTTTTCGTCAAAAAACTCCCGTACAATGGACTTGTGAGCCGGTGCATTGTCGTGCAACAACCACCACTCTCCGCTCTCCAACACTTTTTGGCCTCACACGCCGCATTCGTTTTAAAAGTCGTTTCAAAACTCACTTGATCTGTCCCCCCAGACTATTTTTTGTTTCCCAAGCTAAAATTGAAGATGAAGGAACACCGATATGAGTCAGTAGAGGCGATTGAAAAGGCGGTGACAAAGGAACTGAATAGTATTCCAGTGGAGGCGTTCCAGAAGGCGATGATGGACCTGAAGACTCGTTCTAAGCGTTGTATCGAATTGACGGGAGACTATGTAGAAGCTTGATATTAAGGAGGAGTCAATACATGGCGTTGTTTGATCTGTGTGCGACCAGTCCTGGAACTTTTTGAATACACTGTGTATATGAACTTGAAAAAGCAGGCGGCCTTAATGAGTGCAAAGCTTCGTTATACATAGAAAAGGATACGGCAGTCTCAAGATCCAATATGCGCTCTGCGAGAGCTTGATGGGCTCCTCGCATCCGGTGACGAATATCGGACACGGCGGGGGCCCGGGTTGAACGCGGGGGTTCAACGTGACGTGTACCGGCGCTTTAGGCGTCACCACGTGGATTCTCATGAGCTGGGCAATCAGAGGCTTGGTATGTCTAAGATTAATGAAAGGAAAAAAAAAGAAGCTGTATAATATTAGTTAAGCCTCGTCTACATAGAAGTCGTAAAGTCATAGTCGTAAGAATAGTCGACTATAATTGGTCAATTCTTATGTGTCTGACTGAATTGACCAATCGCGGTCGACTATTCCTACGACTACGACTTTACTTACTTCTATGTAGACGAGGCTTTAGTCAAACGGCTCTACGTGCGTGCACAATCGAATCCAACGTACCTGCAAGGGCAGGAAAAATATAGGGGCATGTCAGCCGTGCTGGAGGTCACCTTGTTCCCGCTGTCCTTCACAATGCCGCTGCCGGTAGCCTTCAACACCTTGTCGGGTGCAGACATCATAAATCGGTGCCCGCGCGGACACTCGTACTCCACGCCAACGAATATCTTGACAACAAACTCCTTGCCCTTCGATTTCCGAGCACGTATGACGTTCATGTTCTGAAAGTTCTTGCCACGCGGGCAGTAACCCCCCTGGTCGCCCACCAACGGCCACAGCGGATTCCGCTCCTTCTGGTGCTCCAATCTGCGGCGGATATTTTGTTTCTTTTAGAAAGTTCCTCACGTTCCTGGAGAGCGCTGAGGGCGACGCGCGCCCGGCACGCGCGGGAGTCACATTCTCTCCTCACCTGACCGTCACGTCCCACGGCAGTAGATACGCAGACGTGGGGAATACACCGATTTGATGCTGCAGTCCTATATTGTGAGAGTAAAGGCTGCTCGGCCCCAGGCACACCAAGGACCAACTGGAGAATTGCGGTAACAAACCGGCTGGTGATTCGGTGTGCAACATTCCAGGCAGATATTCCGTCGTCGATGGCTGTCTCACCAGGGATTTGTCTGCGAAACGCATATATCCGTGTACACTTCCGGGAAATATCCAGGTTCAAATTTCTGTGTGGACGAAGATACCTTTCGAGGCTTCCGCATCGCTGTTAGTGACTTCGATAACAACTTTGTGCGAGTCGCTCGGCGTCAAACTTGTCTTGCTGCTCAGTCTCGGGATATCTTCCTCTATCGGGTCGCTCGGTGCCGGCGATTGACCACCGCTACCATACTCTGTAATTTCATCTGCAATATCTCCATTAAATTAAACGCTCGATGAAAGACGCTATTCTTATACTTGCCATTCAGGGTATCGGCTTCTAAGCTGCAAGCTTGCGTGTCCTGTGGCGTAGAGGATCCGTTGCGGCTGAAGGAATCGTGGCGTTTCGTCGCTGAAAACAACTGCGCTGCTCTGCAGACAAACAAGAGCAAGGAGGCACATCAGTGCCGTCTCCATCTCCGGGAAAGAGATCTCTAGCAGCATGCACGTTGCCTACCTGTAGTTGTGTGTGCTAGGTTGAAACACGGGGAACTGTACGCATTCCAGTTGCGTGCAGCCGCATTGCTTCGCTAACATCTGGAAGTAATCGCAATTCGCCTGTCTCAGACTGAAGGGATCTTCCCTCGAGCCTTGGATCCTGCCGCAATTACACGTGGACACGTATCTGACGCCGCTGCAATGCTCTCTGACGGGTAATTCGCTGTGGACGAAAATTAAGACAATCGTAAATGTGCATTACGTAACAATATATTTTTATAGAATATTTTCTAGAGAGAAGGATAGTTGAGAAAACGTGCCTGTCGTCTTCCCTGGGCTCGGCTTGATCCCCACCTCCCGCACCCTCGCTACCCCCTCTGTGAACCGGATTCGTGCAGGGATGGCCGGTGAGCGACAGGACCTCGCACATTTGTCTGCCGGTTCGCCAATGCTTGTCGCACTCGGCCTGCAATTTCTCACTGAACTCCTCGAACAACGGCCCGCGGGCGTGCATCTCGAAGACCGTCATCGCATGCGCCAGTTTCGACTCGTGATACGCTCTAGAACGCATCATTTCATTTGAAACGTTATGCGAAGACGAATCGCGATTGTTTCAAGTAACTTTACCTCGTATAGTGCTGCGGCAAGTTCTCCTGATACGCTTGCAAAGCTCTCGGGAGTATCTTGCTGCAGCGGCTTTTACTGAACTTCACGTCGGTATCTAACAAATTATGAAGCCCCGACAGCTCCTTGTCCGTTCCATGAATAAAATAGTCGAAGACTTTGTCCGCCACTTGGCAAAATACGTTTAAAGTAGGGATCTGGAAAGTGTCCCCCACTTTTAGAAGTTGCTTAGCCTCAATCAATGTCGTTTAACACTGATTGCATGTACTGAACTTATTCGGTATAATCCGACATGGAATTAACGAGGTGTTTCACGATCGAAAATGCGCTCACCTCAAAATGAGCTGGCACGGAGTGTCGGCTGACGTTATCGTCGAATCCTCTTGCGAAAGCCAAATTTATATGTTGTTGCAAAAACGATCTGAACGAGCGAGTCTCTGCAAGCGCACAAGTATTACATATCTCACTTATGTGTGTCGCTTCTATTTTATCATCATCCATTTTTGGTCTTACCAGTCTCGGTATCGTCTGCAATGATATTGTTTGAATCCAGACTGATGATACTCCTCGACGTTGTACCACCGGAACTAATTTTACAGCTCTGTATCAACTTTCTCGCCATGTAGCCCAACATGTCCCTCGATTCTGTACTCCCGGTGTGCACGTACACGAATTCCTGATTAGCTGGTATCGCGAACAGGGAATTCGAGCTACAAAAAGAAAGCATAGATCGTAACGGGAATTTGTCTTAAAGAAAGCCGCACGTTAATTTTGTACCTGATATTAGTGACAATTCTATTCTTTCTTAACACGTGGTAAATCTGATCCTCCAGGGAGTGCTCGAGCTTTTTGATGTTAGCCTCGCTGTCTGGATCCTGGAACACCGCGGGGCAGGTTTCGAAGTAAAACAACACCCGCGGCGAACAGGGCCTGGCATTCGAAATCCAATCCTTGGGTAGACTATGAATGCAGTCTAACACGTCGGACAGCTGCGGAGAAATCTTTTGCCTGTTACAAAGAGCAATGTGTTGTTTCACCGAAAGAAAATCTGTCTGGCGTGTTTTAATTTTATTTATAATATTTTCTCAATATATAAAGACATTTAACTTGTTCGGACGAGTTCGACCAGAAATCACCAGATTTTTATTCGATCGCCACATCTCTCTGGCTATACAGAGATAAAAAAATTGAGCACGTGCGATTGGCTAGTCAGCCTTAAAAATTCTCATTGAAGTTTCTACGAGGTTCAATGTTCCTCGTGGGAATCCTTGTGCCTAGAGGCTCTATGCCTCCCACTAGGGGAGCGGCGGGATTTAACAAGACACTCGACCGAAAGTGAGTCTAGTACCGACCTGACAATGTCCATGGCGCGGAATAAATGCACATAACTGTAGTCGAAGATGTGAGTCGGATGAGTGAGCACCATCACGTGGGATATGTGGAACAGCACTAGAAGCGCTCTCGCGTATTTGTCCCTCATGTGCGCCCAAACGCTCAGGAAGTCCTTGCGCTCCTGATTCTCCGTGAACTTGTCGTACTCGGCCACAAGCGCATGGGCGTCCAGGAATCCTCTCAAGTGCAGGTAAACCGTCCTCTCCTTGGGATTGTAGTATCCCTCGATTTCGCTCTGTTAAGAGGAAACGTGCAGAGTCGGAAATATTTATTTGCCGGGGAAGCCACAGAACCCGAAGGGGACATCTCACCCAGGACTGCTGATCCATCTCGGGCTCGTCCAGGAGGTTCAACTGGAGTATGGAATTCAGCATGTCCGTCTTGCATCCCTTCGCTCGATACTGGGACTTGCCGAACACCGAAACAATCACCACTTTCTTGTCCGTCTGCGGGAAACTGAAAAGGAACAGGAAACCAGCAAGCAGGTCAACAGTTGCCGTCTCTTTCGAACGAGTTTTATAAAGACGTTGGACTGCAGGACGTCAATTTCGAAAAAATTGTATTAAAGAGATGCCGCTTGGCTCTTTAATCCCTTACCTGTCCACATCGCATGGAAGTTTGAATTTACGTGGACGCATCGCGAGCTTGTTTACATTTAGAACGCAGTGGCGAACAGGTTGAGTTAGGTTAGGTTAAACTTCGCATCCCGAGCGCGCGCCACGCATTCTGTCGGACGGTACTCAAACTTCCTCCGAGAGACAGAGTGCGACGGGAGGGGTGAATTTTTCCTCGCTTTACTCGCTACGTATGTTTATTCGTGCTTGTCTTGTCTTGTCTTCCTCTATGAGGAAGCCTTTGAATAGACAACTTGCCACAATGTTGATCCTGCCAAATTTCCAATTTGCACCTTCAAATTAAAAAAAAACTGGACCACATGATGAGGAAGCAAATGTGCAAATTTCCAATTTGCACCTTTTTTTAAATAATGGTAACGGTAACTATAGTTACTTTTTTATTCGGTAACGAGTGACGGTGACTAAGTTAATTACTTTTTAATTCTGTAACGAGTAACGGTAACATTTTTAAAAGTAACTTTCCTATACAGGGTGAGTCTTTCCATAGCCGACAAAATTTTTGAGAAGGTAGAACGGATCGAGATGAACGGAAAAGTCCTGTACCATTTTGCAATTTTCGTAATAGTTAACGAGTAATTAATTATTAAAAATCGTTGTCTTAGGCCGGCCTACCGCCCAATTCGAGCGCGTGGCGAGATGTGCGCATAGCAATATCGATCGCCGGGCGGTCACATCTTGCCACGCGCTCGAATTGGACGGTAGGCCGGCCTAAAACAACGATTTTTAATAATT